TTAAAGACCAATTTAAAATTATTTGTGGGTTCCTCGCATATTTTTTCAATAATTTTATTTAATATCGGAAGTATATACTTATACTGTAAAATGTAACTTGGTATTATAATACCTGTTTTTCACTGGAAAAAAAATCTTCTCATTTTAAAAATATATAAAAAATTATGTTTTATTTATTGTGCATATAACCAAGTATTTCAAAAAAAAATTCATATTCTGAAAAAATAAAAATATATGGTAAGTTTTAACACTTTTTGCACAAAAAACTTTTTACATGTATTTTTGGATTTAATAACTAATTTATTAAATTCATGATAACTTAGTTAATATTTTAATAACCCCTTTAAAAATTTTAATTCATGAGAATTAAGGGTCATTATTCTAGTATAAATGCTAGACCTATAAGTAGGTTGATATTTAAACACTTAAAATTGGTTAGGAAATTCTCAAAATTACTCAAAATATTCATCAATTTTAATTGAGTGTATTTTTCATAACAATATATGAGTTGTGAAAAATCTTCTCACCTTCCATAATAGTTAAACTTTGTTAGGACACCTACATGGATTTTTCCTATAAGAATTTATCTAAGGATGCCACATTTATAAATAAGAGTAAATTTTTTGAGTCATAGATTAGTTATCGATTAAGAACATATCAAAATCTTTAAACCATATGAAGGCCACACTGTAACTTACCTCAGGTAAAATGTACAAGGGTGTTAATACCTTTCCTGAACACAACTAGTCCATTGTCTTAGAATTTTTGATAAAAATAGCATACATAAATTTTCTAGCGACTCTGAATCAAACAACTAGATTACAACTTCTTAATCCCCACAACAATGCTCATGACGCGGACCTGCGTGCGATACTTCTAACAACTCATTTTGCATCTATATACTTGTTAGATAAAAGTTTTTTTACTACAATGGTTATGGTTTTCTTTTGATTTTTAGTTTTATGTTATTCTCCACATGAAAAGTATGCATTTACTTCTAATTATTTTATGTTAAGAAATAATATAAATTATATCTTGAAGTTTTACTTAAAAATTTAATTAATCTTTTAAATAGAGATTATTCTTTGACATGATATTGAACAAAATAATTATAAGTTCGAATCTCACTTTCACCATTTTGTTTGATAAAATTAAGCAAGTTTTAAGCTCTTAAAACTTTCACTTAAATAAATATATTAAAAATAATATAAATTATATTTTAATATCTTATCTAATAACTTAAAATTTTAAAATTAAAATAGGTTTTAACATTTTAATTTTGATATTAACATATTAAACTCGGGTCGTCATGCATTAAAATTGAATCTGTTGAGGTATATGAAACTGCGATGCCAATTTCTTCCGTTTATGTATGATGGAAAGGGAAGTCCACTGTCAAAACACAGGATCTTCATTAACAGTAAAGCCACCTCATTCCTTCCGTTCTCAATTCTTGCATTGCCTTTTGCGCTAGCTGTTGTAGTCAGTGATGGCAAAAATAATGATTATACTTGGCATTTTGTTTAGCAAGAAATACAAAATAAAAATATTAAAAGTAACTTCATTGGCTAACCTTATCTAAATATTGCGGAACATGCTCTGTGGTGCTCACCTCTGCTTGGACGTAGGTAGGTCGGTAATTAGTTTATCAAAGAGGGCTTCCAGTTTATACGCAACGACGGGTTGAAGCCGGTAATCTTACGTGGGATCTATCTAGTGTTTGCCCAAGCCTTGCTTCTTGAGAAGTTGCTGGTGTAGAATGGAAAATATTTACATGCATTTTCATTAGTATTGTTTACACACACACACACACACACACAGCTATTTGTTCCAATTAAGTCCCAAAAGTGAAATATGCAGAGGAATGTTAGATACAACATGATCCTATGAATTATAAATGGATGTAATTATGTAAGTAAAGAAAAGGAGACGATTAAGTGGAATTTTCAATACTCTCCCACAAGTTAGAGTATGTAGATTTATAAAGCCCAACCTGCCCAACAAGCCATGAGATTGTTCTCGTCTGAGAGCTTGAGTAAGCATGCCCAAAAGTTGGAGTGATGAGGAAACATGAGTTGAACTGATTGGCGATAACATGAAGGGATAAGGATACTTTGTTATCACAATAAAGACAAGTTGAATGCAAGAAAATGCCAAGGTCATGTAGCAAATAATGAAGTCAAACAATCTCAGTTGTCGTCGATGCCATTGCTTGATTTTCAGCTTTGGCCAAAGATCAAGATATAGTCGTTGTTTCTTATATTTTCATAAAATAGGAGAACTCCCAAGAAAGATGAAGAATCTAGTGGTGGTAGTGGTAAGTCGCTGAGTAGTTGGACAACTTGCCCTTTCAGAGTCGTAATATATATGCTTCTAATTGAACAGGACTTGAATGAAGAAGATAAATGCATTGTCTTGGTCTTGTCTTTATATATCTTAGAGCTCAAGATGAGGTGTACGAGGATCCTGAAGTAATTGACGAACTTGCACCAAGTAAGACAAATCTAGCATGGTGATAGTCAAATAAAGCAGGCAACCCCACAAGATGACTGGAAGCAGTTGGGATACAATAGAACCAGAATCTACTGTTAAATGATGCTCTTATTCAAGAGCAGGTTTGGCTCCCAACATTTTGGTTTCTTAAAGGATGTTTAAGGCATATTTATGTTAGCTAAAAACAATGCCTCATGGTGAGCAAGCTACTTCGAGACCAGAAATTACTTTAAGGGTCCAAGGTCTTTAAAATGGAATTTCCCATGAAGATAATGTTGAAGTTCAGCAATATGAGAAGCACTGTTTTTTATAATGATAACATCATCCACGTAGATGAGCAAGTTACTAAAACTATTCTTATGAATAGAAGTAAAGAGAGAATGGTCAGCATTTGATTGTTGAAAACCAATAAAGATGAGTGAAGATGTGGATTTTTCAAATCATTATCAAGAAGCTTGCTTAATCCTGAATAAGAATTTGCGAAGCCTATAAACTCGTTTGGATGATGAAAGTCCCGGGGGACTTTCATATAAATTTCTTTATATATATCATTATGTAAAAAGACATTGTGCAACATAGATCTAGTCTAGGTATGTAGAACAAGAATTCATTTTACATGAAGCAATATGTTGCAATGAGGAGAGGGGCGACACTACTTGGAGTCGAGGTGCCTAGCTTGAGGTTTGGCTAGTCATGACGTGAAGGGGTTAACGTGAGGTTGGTGACAACGTTGATTAAGGAGCTGGCGGCCAGCGTCAGTGGTTAGTTCTTATAGTTCAATATCTTTTGCAGGTTGGCAAATTTTTTTAATTTAATTTTTAATTAATCTTGAAATTCTAATTATCTTGCATTTTTATCTCTGTTTACAATTAATTAATTTGATAAAAATTAAATTAAATTTTTTAAAATTTCAATTTTTTTAATTAAGTTTAAATTCACTCCAAAATTGATTTTTTCACAAAGTAAACCTCTAATAAAATTAATTTCACTTATTCAAAAAATAATTAAACCATTGCACCAAATCAAATCCTTCAATCAAATTCAAATTAATTTTTAAATATAATTAAACTTTAATTTGGTCTATAATAAAATTAAATTGATTTATTAAAAATCTAATTACATTGTTAAACTTAATTTTTATGTAAATTCGTTCAATAATAATTTAATTTAACCTTAATTCTACATTGTTTTTTTAATTTCGAGTAAAACAGGGTATAATTAGGCTCTAAAATTGTAGCTCTATTTGAAATTTCACAATCAATCTTTATTTTATTTAAAAAAGAAGAAGATAAATAACCTAAAAATAGGTCACCAATCTCTCATGCCTTTTAATATATTTGTTATGTGTGTTGGATGAAGCTCATCGGGCATACATTTGATATGCAACTTCTATTCATGGAAATCAAAAAAATAATATGTTACATAGATGACAAATCATTTATATAGATGACAATTATATCTTTCAAGTATTTTAAAACCCATGGCACCAGCCTTGCATTCTCTTAACGTTTGGAAAATGTAAACTTCCAATCTACATTACTTCACATTACAACAAGAATTAAAGGTGCCTGCACTCATGGATTTGTTGCAGCTCCTTCTATGTTTGTGCTTCAATTGAGAGTTTCTTGGAGAGAAAAAAAAGAAAAAGAAAAAAGAAATCGATGCTCATTGGACTACAGAAACCAAGTAGAGATTGCATTGAACAAGTTAAATAAATTGGAACTTAAGAATTGAAACAATATAGTAATATAATAAAGCTTTATAACCTCAGTTCCAGATTTGCCTATCAAAGTTAGAGCTTTTGGATATTTTCAGCAATAGAAAAGTATTTTTTTAGTTTTATTTTTTAATAAAAATATTAAAAAATTATTTGTTGAAAACATATAATACTTTTTTCATTAAAAAAATCAAAGTCATCTTAATATTTTTTTCTTGTGATAATTTATTTGAAAAATATTTACTCTATTTCATGAGAATGTTATACTTGTTAATTTTAAAAAGAAAATATTTTATATTATATTTATAATAAAATAAACAAATTTATGATACTAACTAAATATGAAAATATAAAAGAAAATAATTTTAATAATTTACATTGATAAAAATTACTTGTATATAAAATTAAAATAATGTATTATACATTATAGATAACCTCCAAAACATGTCTTTGTGATTAAAAAAATAAATAAATAAACAAGTTTTTTTTTTTGAAAATATCGTATTTGAATATAAAGTTCTAGTTTTTCCTTTTTCTGATCTTATTTTTCTAAAACATTAGAGTATCAAATAGTCCCTAGAAGTTTTTAACATGTCAAAACAGTCCAATTTCGTAAAAAACCTTTTGCAAAATCTCATGTATTTTTTACCAAACGAATATAACAATTTTAATTAAAAAAATCAAACCAAAACACAATTACTTCTCTAAATAATCATAGCCCATTAAATTTTTAACACTCAGCCCATTCAAATTAATTTTGTTAGCCCAATAGAATGATTTATAATCTCAAACCGAGTGGCCTTACCTATGGATCTCCCCGCTCTGTTTCGTGCTGCTGCTCCTCCCAACATTCCCCCACTTCACTCCGCTCCACCCCCAAGGTACGAACAACACACTGTCTCTCTCTCTCTCTCTAGCAATTCTTCGAACAGATTGCGGGCTTGCTGATTTTCTTGTTTTTCTCTACTTGTTTTATATTACGTTGTTGATTCTTGTATTTTTTGCAGGGGTAATTACATCATTGAGAAAGACAATAATATTGCCATTGAAGGTAGGAATTTGAACTTCTCAATCAAAACAAGGAAAGGGGATTTAGTTCCCATTCTTAAGGACTGTTCTCTTAGGATTCCATCTGGGCAGCTTTGGATGCTTCTTGGACCGAATGGGTGTGGAAAATCTACCCTTTTGAAGGTAACTTCAACTTCTACTTCGTTCATTCAAAAAGGTTAAATCTTGGTTTTAAGATGCTGAAGAAGGAAAGAGATGATGGGTTTTCTATATTGTGAATTAGACAGATTCTGGCTGGTCTTTTGAACCCAACTAGTGGAACCTTGTATCTGAAAAGGCCTAAGAGCTTTGTTTTTCAGAATCCAGACCATCAGGTTAGTTTTTTCCTCCTTTAAACTAGTGTACATGCTGATTTTGTTCCTTTCTCTGAGCGCTTTAGAAGAGACGTTCTGTTATTTTACATGGAAGAACTTGTATAATACCTGTCATAGATGTTTGCTTCAAATATATTTTTTTCCCTTTCATTTCTTGATTTCTGAGATATTTAGACCATTTTATTTGGTGACAAAGCTAGAATAGTTCTGCAACATTGTTTCTTTAGAATATGATTATCTAATAATGATCTATTACTGTTGTTGTCAATCCCATTTCCTACTACTTCATAGAGCCTCTAATGTGTATCCTACCTCTTATTTCGACAATTGCCTTTTTTGTTATTAATCCACCAAGGGAAAACATTTTAAAAGTTTTTCTTTCTAAAAATAATTCCCCAAAAGATCCTGTGTGGAGGTTAACATTAGTTTCTTGTTTAGAGAAAAATAAATGTTAAACAACACATTGTTTATAATTTGCGCCAATCCTAGTTATATTTTTGTTTTAATTTTGACTGGTTTGGCATACCTGCTCCCTTTATAACATGTGGTTTTGTTTCTCACGTTATGCACTATATTTTTAGTGAAAATAAGCTTTCTTTGTCACTATCTTGCTGTCTTTTTCTGGCTAGCAAGGAAGATAGAAGAAAAATAAATGGTAGAAGAAAATTTAAATATTCTTCTTCTGTTTGTCACCATGAAAGATCATTGGAGGACAGAAATTTAGAAATGAACAGTCTTTGTCTGGTTGTCAAAATTTTCACCCATCCATAAAAATCTGTTGCAAATTCTCCACGCATCCATAATAATCTATCTTAAATTTTCACATCTTTTGAGAAGGTTCATAAGCACCCTTTCTGACATAATTGCCAGGTTCTTTCTTTTGTACATTAAACAGAAGAAATGAGAAGAGATAAAGAGATATTCTCCCTATTGTCATTAATCAAAGGAGTTCTTCTTCTGCAGGATGCATAGCATCAAAAAATTTATTGAGAAGTGACTTAAAAAATTCAATCTGGCAGTAGAATGAAATTTCTTCTCAAATTCATTTACTCATTATAGCTCCTTTTCTTGTAATTTTATCAAGGGAACTTTTCCTATCAGCTTCTGTTAGTGTTGGTTCACTGTAAAGTACTGCAAAAATTCATTTTGATTGGTTTCCACTTTCCATTGAAGATAGCTCAGTTTAATATGAAACGTTATGCAATTTCATGAGCTACATGATTTAATAGTGTCAAATATGCTTTACATTGCCATCTCTTGAATATTCTTCCATAAAAATGTAGTTACTTTATATATCATCTCTATGACCTGCTTTCCAGCAGACAACAAAAAAACTTTGTGCCAATATTTGCATTTCTTATTTTGTTCTTTAACATACTTTTTATTGTACCCTTGCAATTCTACCTTTAAAGTTAACGCGTAACTACAAAATTATGAAAAATGAGATCTGGTACTTACAAAATTTGATAAAGGCAACATCCTTTTTAATTGCAGGTTGTGATGCCTACAGTCGAAGCAGATGTATCATTTGGCCTTGGGAAGTTGAACCTGACTGAGGATGAAGTTAAGTGCACGGTGTCAAAAGCTTTGGATGCTGTGGGAATGTCTGCCTACATGCAAGTAGGGTCATGAACCATATAACTTTCAAGACATATCTTAACTACATGTTTCTTGCATAATCACCTTCTTCTGCCCTCATCAGAGGCCAGTTCAAACTCTCAGCGGTGGTCAGAAACAAAGGGTTGCGATTGCTGGTGCTCTAGCTGAAGCATGTAAAGTGCTCTTATTGGATGAGCTAACAACATTCTTAGATGAAACTGATCAGGTATATTAGTTGTTGTACAATTTAGCTGTTTCGATGATTGATGATGTCAGATAATAACAGAGATGAAGCAGTCAGGTAGGAATTGGCATTTAACATTGTAGATGTAGGTTCTTTCAGAGTAGGGTAGGTGAGGCAGTGTTGTCTATTAGCATCACCACCTCAAGGATTGGTGCAACAGAGAGTGCAGTGGACAATCTTGACAAATGTGAATGTTGTTGTAGGCGAGGACCTTATTAGTACTAGTAGTAATGGAGGATTTGACTGAACATTCCCAGTGATGAGGACTTATGCTTTCTACTACTACTATTACTACTACTACTCACATGGGGAGTGTCTTAGGAATAATTGGGGAGTACAACAACATAGCATGTGAGGTTTTAGAGTGAAGCTCTCAAGGAATGCAGAAGGATCCTTAATGAGGTAATGAATGGCAGTGGTAAGATACTGCGCCATTCAGATCTTGCTAAGCCTCTAGCATGCCAGTGGTAAGATAGGTGTCATGCATCTAAAATTATCATCGCTACATTCTCAAGCTTTTTCAAGAATAGTTAATGAATGTCACCTTGGGCCAACCTTATTAGACCTGCTTTGAGTTCACCAAATCAAGTCTCTTTGTGCCAGGGTCGGGCAAGTGTTTGACTTGTTAGCGCAACCATATGAATATTTCCTGATCTTTGGGCTAACAGGATGCTGAGGGAGACTTAGTTTGGTGGGCTTAGAGAGGGACCTATTAAAGTTGCCCGAGTTGACATGAACCTTTCTTGAATGAGCTTGATAACGCAAGGACACATGGTGCCTATCCTACCATTGGCACACCTGGCTTGACCTCTACAGTCGGGTATCATCCCTACCACTATAAATAATCCGTCTAGTTTGTTCTGACTATTCCTTTACTTGAGAGCTCTCTCCCTCGCACTTTCTCTCTCTACGTTACCTTTTTTGGCTAATTGTTCCCCTGGGCTGTTGTGCTCCACAAATTTTACTAGGAAACACCCCTTATGTTAGTAGCCAACATCATTCCTGATCATTGGGTATGTTTAGTCGCTTCACCTATTTCTAGTACCAAATTCTCACCCGCTACAACATTCTCATCTGTTAAGACTTCCTGCTTCTCTTCTCACACCTCTCTCAACTGCACCACTTTCCTAATGCAGCATTACAAGATACTTCACCAGCTCTACTTGGAAAGAACCTGCTTCTACTAACCGCTATATATCTATGTGCAGTGTATAAGATTAGTTGCTGAAAGCTTGATGTGATGGGCACGCTATTAGCTTGACATCAAATATTTTGCTTTCGCTTCTTCAAGTACATGTCTTGTCTGGAGAGATGCATATCAAAGAAAGCAGCTAAATCACCTTAATGCTTGAACTACATTTATGTTTGGCAGCTAGCTCTGATTTTTTTTTTTTGTGAAAATTATTATACATTTTAAACAAGAAATAGTGCTTATTGAAATATTGATTGCTAGGTTGGTGTGATCAAAGCCGTGAAGAACTGCTTGAATGCATCTGATGATGTTACGGCTCTTTGGGTGACCCATCGATTGGAAGAACTTGAATATGCAGACGGTGCTTTATACATGGAAAATGGGAATGTTGTCAAGCAGGGTGATGGATCAAGCATGATAAATTTCATCGAAGCCAGACAATCCGCTTACATTAACCGAATTAATTCTTGAGGATATTCTTTTAAATTCCTTTCTTTGGTTCATAACAATTCTCTTGTTTATGATCTCAGATCCTAGTTATCTACAAATATACCGATTGCTCCAGTTCTCTTGTCCTGTTTTTTTATGGAACACCAAGCATGGTAATAAGCAATACTGAAACAAGTTCCAACCATCAATCTCGGATGCCTACTTTCATTCCCTTGAAAGAGTCGTTGTGGCGTGATTGGAGATAACCCGATTGCATTGTTGTATGTCTCGCTGGACCGCCATAGGAACTGGGTGCCCCTCGGCCCTAGTGTTTCAGAATGCACTGAACTGCAGCAGAGTCCTCGAAAGATTAAATTATAACCATAGTTTTCTGGCCCGGCTTGCTAGCTTGACCCGAGATTTGGCTAATCTAGAATTGAAACTGGGCTGAGTTGAAGGAAAAAAAAATTATGATATAGTATGACCCAAGTGATCTGGTGATTAACCTGGCAAAACTTAGTGAACCTATTGATTTTTGTTTCTTTTACTAAAACAATACTGATTTAATTTTTTTTTAAAATATAGATTGATCCAGGTAATCCTATCAAAACTTAGAACCTGTGTCTTAGACCGGGTGGATTCAAAAACAATAATCATAACATTAAATTCTAGTTTTAACATAGAGATGTCCACTTAGTCAGGCAATGCCTCCACCAGTAGCGAAGATTATTCCTGGTAGTCCAAATTATCTGAATAAGCTAAAAGCCAAGCACGTTTTGATACTTCCCTCCCTGATTCATTAACCTCATATCTTTTCAATGATTCCCAGTTGAGCTAGTGGAACTGGGGTCATACAGTGATGGCCGCCAAGAGTGAAGAGTCCTACAGTAGTCTTTGACGGTGGCCCATCCACTGCACAGTTGAAGATGGAAATGTATCTAACTAAAGGAGTTGGTTGAGCTACCACAAGCAGGACATTATTGAATAATTTTTTTCTTTTCCCTGCCACCATGGCTAGTGGATCTTCCCTTCTCTTTCTTAGTCAGTCATGGGCTGAGCAACTTGGTTGGCAAACACTTCACATGCTGTGATTTGGTAGGAACTTGGCTCGCCAAAAATCAGCAACAACAGGTCTCCAATTGCATGAATTACGAGGGCGGGCATCCTCCAAAGTTGACTTGTAAAGTTTCTTTCTTTGAATTCTCAATACTCGGTATGAAAGACTGGTCAAAGCCTCAAAAGCCCTTTTTCTTTTAACATTAAAGTTAAAACCTTACAAACCAACTCGCAATTTTAAAGTGTTTTATAGGAGTTGTTTTTCAAAATAATTTATATTTTAAAATATATTAAAATAATATTTTTTTTATTTTTAAAAATTTAACTTTAATATTAACATATTAAAATAATTTTTTAAAAAATAATTTTATTTATAGTTTTTAGAAAACCAATTACAACATAATTACAAGCAGCCTCTTGACAGTTGGATAAACAACAATGTCATTATCCAAATAGACTAGAAGAATAATTGCATTAAGGATCCCCTTGTGGCCATTGATCAAGCATCGACGTCTGAAATTTGCAACGTTACTTACCAGATGAAACCATTTCATCAGAAGTGTCTACCTCATTAGAAATCAAAAAAAAAAAAAACCAGTTATTCATTAGGTAAGTTTTCTAGATCATAATACTATAATTCTTCCATATTCTTCCCTACCAAAATTATCTTGTGTTATAAATTATTGCTTTAGAACCCTTGATTGCCTGCATCTTTCTCTGTCCTAATTCCCCCTATCTATTTTCCTTTTTAGTTTCCAAAATTCTCACTTTCATGACATTTGACCAAGAAACCACTAAAAAAATATCCATCTTGAAATCTAATGTATTAAAAGGAGCTTTCTTTTTAGAGTCTACTTTCATCCATCTCTGAACAACTCTTATATGCATCTTCAGCTTTCCAAATTCTTTCTTAAGCTTGAAGAACCCAACTTGGCTTTTCTCGCTTTTTCTAGTTCTAATCTCTAAAGGGTCTCTAAATTTGCCTCTCAATTTCACAAATTCTCCTTTTGGACAAGACCTCTTGCTTAATTGGTATTTCTCATAAAGGGCTTTAATTGGTGTCTTCTAATTTAAAAGTTTGGCCTTTTCTGGGTTTTATGGAGCTGCCAAACTTTTAGCTTTAATGGGTACAAGGTGATCCCTCAATTTTCCCTTCTTCTTTGGTTTACTTTTGCTGATTGCTCTCTATTGGATATGAAATAGGAATTATTTTGTTGATGGTTGTTTTAATTTGTAAAAAGAGTTAGTTTCTTTATATATTCTTATGTATTTGACAATGGTACTTGAAGTTACAGTTTTTGCTTTTAAGTTACAGTTTGGTTGCCTAGAAACCTATGGGAAATGAAAGATGTTAGAATCTATTGATGGGTACACCTATATTGGCTCTCAATGATCTCGAATTGAAAGCAGAAGTGTTAACTTGGCTTCTTCTTCTTTTTCCATGTATCCTTGATCCTGTTGTACATTAGCTGATCATGCCGTTCTTTTAAGGGTTATGTTGTTAATGTTGATAGTGATACGCGCATGCTGCAGAAACTCAAATGCTTCAAAGCTTTCTGTTGCGAGGTCTTTTCCTTACAAAGTAGGAATAAAATGCAGTTTTGAAGTTGGTCACTTGATTTTATTGTTAGCCTTGTATAGACTGGTGTATTTTGCACAACTGAGACAATTCATATCCTTTAGCTCTCCCTTTTTTAGAGGACTAGAAATTACATTTTAGCTAAAGGAATGGGAAGGCTAGTTGGTCTTTGTTATATTTTTTTATTCCTTCTAAATGCTTTTGAGTAGTTGAGCCTGATAGTATAAAGAACTGAACTTTCCACGCTAGAATTTTTTAAATTCTCAATAGACAATGCTAATATAGTTACTTAATTATTGTTGTTGAGATGACATGTTTCGTTCCCTTTTTACTATGCATATCATGTACTATTCATTTTGTATCTATGGTTTCCAACCTTTTTTTAATTGGATGAACCTATGGTTTCCAACTTCGGGAAATGGAAGTAATGTTGTGTTCTATATTGAAGGTCTATTTCTTTGGATTCTCCCGATTCTCTTTATGAAAGGAATCTCATAGATGATTCAGATAAGGTTAACCGAAATGAGGAAAGAATCCTGAAACTTCACGAGTCAAACGGGGTGGTGGAACAGACCTCAAGTCCATTAAAAAGAGAAGTAATTAACAGGTATGCTTCCATCATTATTTTAGTTTATCTTCTCAATTTATTGCTTGATATTGCATGTCAGTGATCAGTCGAGATTGTGTACTTTGGACAATGAGAGCTCAAGCTACTTTTCTGCCTGTATCATTCCTCCGTTTCTCCTTGTGTATGTATTTTTTGTTAGCCAGACATCATTGAGTGGACTGGGTTTAATTAAATCTGTTAGAAAATCAGGAAAAGATGATCTTGAATTGTTGAGTGCATAGATGCAGACTGAACACATAGTTCAGTACTAGAGGGTGCCTTTGCTGAGAGTGCACTCTGAAGCTTGAAGCTTTTTCAAATAATTATTCAAAATGTGCTTTGAATGCATGGCACATGGTTATCAGCATTTTTCTTTATCCCTACCTTTCAGTGGGGTGGGGTTTTCATTTCCTTTCTCTCTCTCTCTCTTGTGTGCTCTCTCTCTCTCTCCCCCCCTTTTATTTCTCTGGAAAAAAAAGATTGGGGGGGGGGGGGGGGGGGGGGGGCTCGGGAAAAAAAAGGTGGGGGGGGGGGGTGGGGGACAGTGTTGTGAGGCAAGGAACTGAAAACATTGTCGATACTGACATGGAAACTCTGGGTGTTGGGTGTGTTCCTGGAGCTTTATAAATAATGATGACGCCCTCATGATTAGATGAGCAAATCAATTGGATGAAGAAACTTTGATTATTGGCTACAACAATTGAAGAATGTTTAGAAAGTGAAAAATGTAGAAGTTGTAGTGAAGGTTCTAATTTGCTCACCACAGTGGAAATGGAGTAGGCCTGCCAGACATTAGTGAAATATTCTCAATAAATCATTATAGATGTCAATAATGATAATGTGTAATGATTCTTGCTGTATCATCTGGACTGAGGCTTATAAATAGCAGGAGATGTTTGGGGTGCATTCTCGTTAGCCATTATATGATAGTTGAGCCTTTATGACACTGCATATCTTGAACTGAGGTCCTCTTAATATTTGAAATGAGAAAAGAATATGACAGTTGCACTGAAACATAGTTCATTGATGATATTGTGAATGCTCAAATGCCATAAATTTGTCCATGTCTGCTTTTTTCATAGTCCTTTTGACTTTCTGTGATGTGAGAGTTTTTTAGGATCCCTTATCTTTCATGCTTGAACTGGCATTTACATCTTTCTTTTCCTTTCCTTCTACTCCCTCTTCTCTGTTTAGTTGATATGCAAACAACAATGCTATATCAGAGTTGCAGTAGTTGTTCAATACCTTATCTTCTTTTATTTTCATACAGGCTATCTTATTCTTTTTCAATGAAATCACATGAGAATGATGAAATTGACTTGGAAGGCGGCAAGTTGGTAAAAGATAAAGATAAGCCAACACGTAGCAAAGGTGTAATTAGAATACAGAATCAGGCCTTATTTTCTGGCATTGCTTATTGCATTTCCTCCTGCAGCATGATACTGGTTAACAAATATGTGCTTTCCAGCTATGATTTTAATGCTGGGATTTCATTGATGCTTTACCAGGTAATTTTTCATACTCGTGTATTATTCAACTTGTCATTTTTTGTGTCTGAAACTGATTTTTTGGGTTTTTACCTGCTTACATTCAACTCAAGGAATTGAAAACAGACTCCGATATCTGTAAGTTCTAAAAGCTCATAAAACTTTGTTTTCTCTGCTGCAGAATTTCATCTCAGTTATTATTGTGTCAATGTTGAGATTTCTGGGTGTAATATCAACAGAACCACTAACTTGGAGATTGATTAAGGTCTGGTTGCCTGTAAACTTTATATTTGTCGGGATGCTCATCACAAGCATGTTTAGGTATGAAATCTTTTCTGCTTTATGGTCTTTCTATATAGCCATCTTGTGCATTCATTTTAATAAAAAGAATGTTTGGACATTTGGATTTCTAAATGGTATTTCGACTTTTTTCTGTCCGGATGACTCGCCAGCTTATGTCATGTATGCTATCAGCA